TGCGAGAATGTGCAGAGCTTGCTGCGGGAGAGGTAGACATTGCTGGTGCCGGTCTCGGACCAGGGAGTCGCCAGCATTGTGACGACTTCGTCAGTGGTACAGCTGACCCTCTTGTGCTTCACAATGGTAGTTCTTCAAACCTGCCAAGTTGAGGTTGGATGGGCCGGACAAGAGGTTCACCCGCATGCTGCCTCTGCGAACATGTTGGAGAAAGTCGTGGCCTGCCCCCAGCGCCCACTGCATGATTGAGACATCCTCAACCCCATATCGCTCCCCTTCCTCGCAGGAGTTTAGCGGCAGCAGGATGCCCCAAGCAACGTGCCCAGACTCTTCAGTTGCGAAGATGAGCTGAACCTGCTGAACCGCCTGCAGCTGAGGCGTCGTGAAGCTCTTCGAGTACCGCTCCTCTGCCACGAAGCGACCATCCACTTTGCGCACAACGAATTGCTGGGCTCCCTTCATGCCGCCATTGCCACCAAAAGCCAAGGCACTCCAGCCAGCGTCCGACTCCGCGGAAACAGACAGGCCCAGCTTCAAACGTAGTACATGATGATGCCCGGCGCAAGCTCCTGGCAGAAGGGCCAGCTGCCCTCCGGGAAGTGAAGGCCATCGCTGCAGGCATTGGCAAGTCCAAATGACAGCACGAATGTCAACACGGCTCGAAGGACCATTGCTGTCAAGTGTGCTGCGCAAATCTGCTACGCAAAGAACTCCAGCCGGCAACTCCGTAGCAGAGGTTTGCTCGGACTCATACTGGGATACCCGCGCGGCAGCATGCAACGGTCATGCAACAACCTGCTTCTTAGGGGTGTGTCGAAATGTGAGAGTGATAGAACCGTGTCAGGACAGCAGCTCAGGCAGCATCAGGAGGCCACCCTCAACGTTTGCCTACAATCTCCACTTTTGGCTTGTGTTTGCTCACTTCGCTTTTCATCAACTTGGGATCCGAATCGCAAAGCTTGCTAACCGTAGACGTCGCAGGAGGTACCATACCCGTTTCGTCCAGCTGTACATTATACTACGACATACTGTATACTCTGCATTGCTTATTGATTCGAGAACCGCATGGCGCTGCATCTACCTGCCGGGGCCTTGATCGTTTTTTTGTTTCGTTTTTTTGAAAGCTTCAGGCTTTGGGGCCCAGGGGCCATAAGGGCTGGGGAGTTTAGGGTACAGGGTAGAAGGTTTGCTATGCAGAGCTTGTTACACGGAGACCGAAGGAACAGCCCACCGCGTCCCGCCGTGGATGAGCGGAGACGCCCGGTGCGGTGGTGTGCACGAGCTGGGCGACCACGTGCCACGTGCCTTTTTTTGCCTTGTCGCACGCCATTTCCAACTGCCCACAGTGGATCCCGGTCCCACCACCTACAGTAGCCACGCGGCCACGCAGGCGCGCTCAGGGCGTCGAAGGACGCGGCCGGCGCCGGGGCAGGCGGCTGGCGAGCACATCCTTCTGCCACCGAACATCTCATGTAGGTCTGGCTCGCCAAGCTCGGCAACAGGGGGGAGCTCAAGCAACGAAGCGGCATTCGCTCGATGCGCAACTGCCGCCACCAGACTTCACAATCGCGCAACCCAGGCGTTGATGGCTGACGGGCGGAGGTGAGCGGGGACGGCCTCAGCTCGCTGGCGCGCCAAGAACTTGCCGGAGCAAATGGGCAGCCTCACGACCGAAGCTGCCACCGACCCCGACACCGACTGCCACAACGGCAGCGGCGGGCCCTGTCGAGTTCTGGGTTCTGGGTGAGTGTCGCGGCGCTTGCGCATGGCAGCAGCCTCAACTGAATAGCCCGTTTTCACATCAGCCCGTGGCTGGGCCTCGCCCCGACGCGTAACGGGCGAGACGATAGTCCGATAGTGTGGCAATCGCGGTGGCTTGCTGCATTGCTGGAGCGCGTTGAAACGCCGCTCCCCGATACCAGCCTCACAACCACACGGCTGCCCTTCCGGCTCGGTGGACCGGGCCGCTGCCGCTGACCACCACGCCGCCCATTGGGTCTCCTGGCGCGACACACTCCCCGTGATCCGCCGCCGAGCCGCAGCTGACCGCCTGCTGTGCGAGCTGCAAGGCGATGTCCCACTGCCGTGCGCTGCGGCCGCCACACAAGTCCTCAAGCTCGGGCGCGCGTGTGCCATGACGGTTACGACGGACGGACATGGGCCGCGGTCAATACAAGGGCTGACGCGCCCTTTGCTCGAGGACATGGTGAAGAGCCCGCCGCCGGTGGGTTGCCGTTCGAGCAAGCGATGAGCACATGTGCGAGGTGCATCTTGCTCACCTTTCCTCTGAATCCCGCGCACCATTTGCCGCTCGTGCAATCACCGTATTGCCGGCTACGACCTTGCCATCCCGAGCGCCCTTTTCAAGGGTTGTTCCTTCGCCGCGTGCGCCTGCCCCTGCCGCTCACGCTTCGTCACTGCCGCTGCCGCGGGGGGCTACTCGACCCGCTCGGCGACCAACGGTCACAGTCACCGGTCTGCGCCACCTCTGGTGTGCTGGCAGCGCGAGCCCTCCCACTAGAGCATGCAATCGCCCGTGTGTGCGCCGAAGCTGGCGCGCAGGTTGCGAGGAACCTGCGCCTGGCTGACATGAACCTCGAAGCGCCCGTCGGTGACGAGCGGCACATCGAGGGTCGTCGCCAACAGCCTCCCTCCCAGCTCGCGCTCGATGCAGGGCAAATGACACTGCGAGGCACTCGCAGTGACTCGCAGCAGTTTGCCAAGAACCCATGCGGCTTGCAAGTCCTCGAGGGGCAGGCGCTGCATGAGCCTGTCGGGAACCGAGGAATGTGATCCCTGGGGGGTAACGACCAGTCGCGGTGGTTCTTCTCCAGCTGCATTACAAATGCGGGTTTTGCCCTCATGCAGGCGGACGTGCGCGTGCTCCCACGGTGCACGCGCTGAGGCGTCACCTGCAGCAGCCCCGTCTGGAGGCAGTTCACCCATGCCACCTGTGGCAACCAGTGCGCCACTTGCGCATAGTGCGGCTGACGCTCCTGCCGAGCCGAATGCCGCGGTCGGGCAGGCGCCTCCGTCGGCTTCCAGGGATTGCGCACGCGGTTCCGAGCTGGGAGGGACTGTCGCTACACCTCGAGAGTCAGTGCTAGTAGACAGCCCTTCCCCCGCGGAGTTTGCGACCACAAGTCCACAAAAGGGGACGAGTGCGGGAGCGACGGCATGCATGGAGGCTGCGCAGGAACGCAGCATGCGAGATGGTATCGTAAGCGCTGCGGCCGTCGAGCAGCACGATGGTTGACGCAGAATTGAAATCGACAGCGGCTCGGAGCATGGTTTCAAGGGGTCCTTGGCAGTCTCCAACACCGCGAATGTCGATGGCGAGCCTCTCTGATAAGCAACGTCCTTCCAGACTCATCTGAAGCATTTCCCCCTGCTTCCCGACTTGCGTAACAACGCGCTCAGAACCGCTTCAGTTCCTCTTGCATTGGGACCGTGCGAATGGTTGCCGAAAGGTGTGGATGGAAAAACAGCATGCGAGCGCATTCGGACTCTGTGAACACCGTGGCACTGCAACACAGGATGTGGTCTATGTATGTTTCGTTGATTTGCTCAGGACCTGCGAGGTCCCAATCTAGTAGCCTGTGCCTCTTTCCTCCCCAAGCTGCCTCCGGGGGGGGGGCTCGTTGCAAACGCACGATGACATGCGCTGGCTCGAGCACATGCCGGACAGTCGGCTCCCCCCAGTGTACTGACACCGTCGCCACACGTGATAAGACGGAAAGCGCCCGCGGCATCAGGCGCACCCTGCAGTCGGCGCAGCCGGACAAAATGGCAGCCAGAGCCAAGGACGACAGAGGCTAGCGCCGTGTCGGCGGACCCCCAAGCCAGTTGCCCTTCTCTCAGGGCTCGCTGGGCGACGCACTAAAAGAACAGGCTGCGTGCTTGAAAGCATTGCATGAAAATTGTAAGTTAAACGGCTGGCACATAAACCTCCACAAATCCTCATCAGGTGCAATTAAAACAGAAGCCCTGGGTTCAGCCGGTCAAGCTATGTCAGTCAAGTTGCCCAGCGGCCATCAAATGTTCACCCCAATCATTCAAACAGAGAGGGCCACACAGCAGAGGCGACTACGGCTACGGGCCCCCGGGCTCCGTCAAGGCACAACTGGGCGGCAATCGACTGGCCGTTGCAGAACTGATTCGGTGCGCATCTGCCGCTGCCAGTGACCGCGGATCAACATGAATCAATGAAAAAGCGAGATGCGCCCCAGCACCCACACTCACACACAAGCGTCTGCTTCTCCATGAGTTGTCCATCGTGGGTTTGATCCTGGGCCTGGCTCAGTTACAACCCCGACACGTCGCAACTCTATCTGCGGTTCGTTGGTTGTGTTGAATTCAGTTCGGCCATTCGCTTGCTTCGGCCAACACATGCTCCTGCCTTGCGACAAAAACAGGCGAGGCACTTGGACCCCAAGGTGATACAGGCGGCACAATGACCGCCTGTACCATTGCGAATGTGCGGGCATGTAGCAAAACCGACGAAGGACACAACACGAAACACTGGGGGCTGGGGATGACGAAATCATCACGGGATGACAGCAAGCGCCCACAGCCGTACCGTCGCTGATGGGTTACCACCAGACCCTCAACAACTCATATGGCTTTTATTTTTCAATCATGGAGCGGAGCCGATCGAAGCACTGCCGCAGGGAAGAAGTCACAAGCTGCTCCTGCTCCTGCTCCTGCTCCCGCTCCCGCTCCCGCTCCCGCTCCTCCCGCTCCACACGTGCTTTGCAGCCTCGGCACGGATTTCTCGGGTTCAGGGTTTGGAATTTAGTGTAGGGTTCGGTCCTCCAGAAGAAGATGGCTCTTGCTGGTGATGGCTGCAAACACCACCTGGTGAGACTCGAACAATGTGCTATGGAAACACGACATGGTGATCGCGAATTTCTAGGACCCGATTCCACAATCAACAAGCTGATGCCAGGGCAGCTTACTATCATTGCTGGCAGTGATGATTGCTGAAGCAACATGCACCACTTACTCCTCTCACTCGGGCACCGACATAAACTGCAAGCGTGCCAGTCAGCAACCAGTACACGCCTGAACATTTTGCGTGCCGATAGCTCCGTCGAAGTCGAAACTACCGTTCTCACTGAGTTATCACTTCAAGAGCGCCTGACAACAGCGGCGAATACAACACGCAGCGCTGGTATGTGGCGTAGGCCAGCAGCACCGAGACCATCGGCAAAGGGGGCGGCAGCTGCTCTTTAGGCCATCTTGTGCCACCGATGCACCGTCCCCACTGTCTTCTTGGGAGATTGCTCCCATGTACTAGAAATGGCGTGGTGCCGGCACATTCCAAGCACCTAGCTGGATCACACCAAAACATGTCTTTCGCTCTCTCATCTTGCGTGTGCACTGCGGCAATATGCTATCACCAGGACTCGTTTTGTGCTGCTGCTCCGAACGGTGCAATAACCTCCAATCTTGAGACGAGCTCGTTTCCTTGCTCTGGCAAGAGACGATGAAAAAAGTTGCTGTTAGAGCACGAGATAGAGTCAGACCTGCCGACATGGAAACAGAGGACCAGGTGTACGAGTGTAAGAACATTGTTTATGGTGAACTGGACTTGGTTGAGAGGAAAGACAGCATGATGCAGTGATACGGAACGAAAACAGAACGAACAAGAAACGAGACACGACAGCGCCATATCTCCACGCAAGCTAAGGCGGCAGCATAATAAAGACAACTGTGCACATCCAAAGTCAAATGTAATAGAGTAGACTCGACCGACAGATCACCAGGCAGGATGAAGAAACGACTCATTGCCCCGGGTCGCCCGCAACAAGTTGTTGCATTGTTACATGTTGTTACTAGCAGTCCTATTCCGATAACTAGTCTGCTACATGCCATTGCTACTGTCGGCTATGACTACGCCCATCGTCGACGGGAAACATGCTCTTTGACATCCTTGCGTTTCTCGGTTAGGCCTAGGAGCGCACAAGAAAAGACTACGGATGCGAAGCCCTGCCAGGCACTGCTCTATTGGAGTCTTCCTTCAGATGCTCAACACGTTTGGTCTGCATTGGCCTCGCCTCAAAAAAGCTGAGCTGTTAAGCAACACCATGCTCGATCTTCCACCACATTGCCTGGAATTACACGAAGAGCCTTCAATTAAAGCTCTAGTGCTGGGCCATGACACGCTTCCTGGAAACCACATCAACCAGAAACATGCTGCCCACGTTTTGGCACCAGCAAAGCTCCCAGACCCTGGAACCGAAGCACAGACACACAGGGCAGTCAGGGCCACAGTAAGCTTTTCAACCGCATCGCAGGTCAGAAGGCTAGACGGCTAAACACACGAGATGTCGTCATCGCTACTAAATAGCAACACACTACGGCAGGGATGGTGCACCGCCGCGTGAGTGTGTGCGGTCACACGGCCTGTGGGATTTCAGTGTGGAACTTCCAGACTTCGCTTTCAGCTGCAAGAGACTACAGCCCACAACGGACTCATGGACCCTGAACCCGATATACATTAACTGCTACCGCGACTGGTAGTGCCACGCCACTGATAATGCTACTGCTGCTTCAACTGCTACAGCAAGTAGTAGTAATAGTAGTCCCCTTTACTACGAATGATGCTAGTGCTGCCAGTACTAATGGTACTACCAGTACCACCATAGCTACCTCGAAAGTTCATCATACCAGCCGCCGAAGATGCAAGCTGCTCTAAAATGTCAACTGTACTGCCAAACCAAGTTTACCCAGCTGGCCATGGAAGTTCAATGAATTGCAAGCACTCGACCTAATCCTCTTTCATAGTGGCACGGCAGGGTGCTGTTTTTGTGCAGCAAAAATCTCCTTCCAAAGGGAGTTCGAACCTCCTGTCCTCTCCCCTCGAGCCCCAGGCCACAGACCCCAAACTCCCAAACCAGGCATTAAAATAAATAAATAAACCACATAATCCTTTGAATTTCTTATGAAACTTGCTTACGACACCAACGGTCATAATCCCCACCATGGAGAACGAACCATCATGTTAGTACACCTGTGAAGAGCAATGCGAAGGAGGAGCACTCTTGTGAGTCGAAGCTCGGGAAGCTTTCAGGGAAACTGGCGACCCCTTTGGGGTGGTCTTCGTAGTTTCCTTTTGTTCCTTCACTCCGGCAAAACTGCTGCAGCCAGTTGAGTAGCAACAAGACAGCACTCTGCTCCCGCCGCTGCGTGCCTGAAAGCTATTTACGTCTGACGGTATCTTGACATTGCGGATTCCGGGTATCTTGCTTCTGAGGAGCCGACTGCTTAGATTCCAAGTTTCTCTTCACGAAATTTCCGCGAAACTCACATCTCGGGCTGCTGTGACAGGTGACGTGTTTCAAGCACCAATGCAAAAAGGCGTGTACTTTAGTAAAACTCCATAAAGGGCCACAAACTTCGGCAACTCCCATATCTCACATTGCGGCGTCGCAGGACGGCGGCTCTGCGCTTCACAGTCCCAAAGATGCCTGAGCATGCACAGCAATGGCAAAAAAAACAGAGGCAGCATAACAAGCAAACCAACTGCAATATGGCCGGCATGACAGGTCAACCACAACATCAGCACATCACTTGTCACAGGAACAACACAGTCAATACATCAACGTCAGCTCAACAAACTCCATGGAGAGAGCGTGGGCATGCCGAGTGGTCCAACTATCGCGGGCTACCATTCTGGCAGGGAGCCCGCACTCCGAGCATCTAGCCCAGAGAGAGCGAGAGCGAGAGAGAGAGAGAGAGAGAGAGAGACTTTTTTTGACTTTGCATTCGCGGAACCGTCCCCTGGTCCCATGCGCGGCACTGGTGACACGCCGTGTGTGAGACGACGCGGCTAAGCTAGAGCTGTGAAAACACATCACCAAAGGAAGGCTGAGTAGCCCTGTACAAAGAACACTAACTGGAGTGGAGTTTCGCTCATTG